GAGTTGGGGTCTAGTGGGACCTTTTTTGTTTTACCCCAATCCCAAGGGAAGAAATTGTTGGGGCAAATTATCAGGGTAGGTAGGGAAAAAAAAAAAAATTTAAGGGTAAAAATTAATGTTTGGGAAAAAAAAAAAAAAAAAAAAAAAAAAAAAAAAAAAAAAAAAAAAAAAAAAAAAAAAAAAAAAAAAAAAAAAAAAAAAAAAAAAAAAAAAAAAAAAAAAAAAAAAAAAAAAAAAAAAAAAAAAAAAAAAAAAAAAAAAAAAAAAAAAAAAAAAAAAAAAAAAAAAAAAAAAAAAAAAAAAAAAAAAAAAAAAAAAAAAAAAAAAAAAAAAAAAAAAAAAAAAAAAAAAAAAAAAAAAAAAAAAAAAAAAAAAAAAAAAAAAAAAAAAAAAAAAAAAAAAAAAAAAAAAAAAAAAAAAAAAAAAAAAAAAAAAAAAAAAAAAAAAAAAAAAAAAAAAAAAAAAAAAAAAAAAAAAAAAAAAAAAAAAAAAAAAAAAAAAAAAAAAAAAAAAAAAAAAAAAAAAAAAAAAAAAAAAAAAAAAAAAAAAAAAAAAAAAAAAAAAAAAAAAAAAAAAAAAAAAAAAAAAAAAAAAAAAAAAAAAAAAAAAAAAAAAAAAAAAAAAAAAAAAAAAAAAAAAAAAAAAAAAAAAAAAAAAAAAAAAAAAAAAAAAAAAAAAAAAAAAAAAAAAAAAAAAAAAAAAAAAAAAAAAAAAAAAAAAAAAAAAAAAAAAAAAAAAAAAAAAAAAAAAAAAAAAAAAAAAAAAAAAAAAAAAAAAAAAAAAAAAAAAAAAAAAAAAAAAAAAAAAAAAAAAAAAAAAAAAAAAAAAAAAAAAAAAAAAAAAAAAAAAAAAAAAAAAAAAAAAAAAAAAAAAAAAAAAAAAAAAAAAAAAAAAAAAAAAAAAAAAAAAAAAAAAAAAAAAAAAAAAAAAAAAAAAAAAAAAAAAAAAAAAAAAAGAAAAAAATAAAAAAAAAAAAAAAAAAAAAAGAAAAAAAAAAAAAAACAAAAAAAAAAAAAAAAAAAAAAAAAAAAAAAAAAAAGAACAAAAAAAAAAAAAAAAAAAAAAAAAAAAAAAAAAAAAAAAAAAAAAAAAAAAAAAAAAAAAAAAAAAAAAAAAAAAAAAAAAAAAAAAAAAAAAAAAAAAAAAAAAAAAAAAAAAAAAAAAAAAAAAAAAAAAAAAAAAAAAAAAAAAAAAAAAAAAAAAAAAAAAAAAAAAAAAAAAAAAAAAAAAAAAAAAAAAAAAAAAAAAAAAAAAAAAAAAAAAAAAAAAAAAAAAAAAAAAAAAAAAAAAAAAAAAAAAAAAAAAAAAAAAAAAAAAAAAAAAAAAAAAAAAAAAAAAAAAAAAAAAAAAAAAAAAAAAAAAAAGGCAAAGCGGAATGAGCTTCACCTTTTCAATTTAGGGGTAGTTGGTTGGGCCCAAAAAGTATATTTGGGCCAACTATAACTGTGTTGGGCCAGAGATCATTTTGTTAGTTAACCATTGCTGTGTACTAGCCTGTTAAGAATTTAATCACCTATCATTATTGATTTGAGAATCAAGTGATACCCACTAGTCACATGATCTAGGCAAATGTGAGGGGTTGACACGAGAAAGGAAATGAACACAGGAGAAAAAGAAAGAAGAAGTTGTATTATATACTGATGAGACATGAATTCAAACATCACATACAAAAACACCTCATTCACCATGTATTCTTGATAATCATAGATTTTTTTTTTTTTTTTTTTTTTTTTTTTCAAAAAAGTTTTTTGATCTCAAAATGCAAGTACTCTCCCTCTCTCTTTTTCTCTCTATATATATGTGTATACAAGTGTGAATATGGGTCTAATTAACCCTCTTTACTTTGGTTGGGTATTCTAAACTTGGGATTCGAGTTGCTAAATTTAGAGGGAGAAGATAAAGAGGCGTGAGAGCGTTTTTACCCCAAATGGCGAGAGTCTAAAACGGCAGGCAAGCTTGCATGGCTGTTCTATACAATGCATGACTCTTTTCTATTCTGTATTGCCCACATTTATTATTTATAGACTTTATTTATGGGTATGCGTGGGACCCACTTTCCTTTCTCTCTCTGCTATTACATATTTTTGCTAGATTTGGTAAATTGCTTCACAGATTTTAGTGGGTATTTTTGTATTTCCACTTTTTGGTTGCTGTTTTTGGTGAGAGTGAAGAGTCTTTTCAGTTTTGGGAACTTAACAACTCCTTTTCTATAATTGTTAAATTGACTGCTTTTCAGTATTTTTGCCCTTTTGCATTTATGTATTTACTGTACTTGGGCTTATTATAGAGAAAAATTAGTCTAAGGTCTCTCTTTCATTTTTAATAATGGAAGAGATCTCTAATATTATTTTATGATATCTAAGGTTTCTCAATCCCCAATACCCATTTATCACAGAGAAATTTGATTCCCTTAAATCAAACTGCCTCTCCCTCTCTTCTTTTCTCTTTGCTCTTCTCTCTCCGACGAACTCTACCTCCATCATCGGAGTTCATCGTCGTCATTTGTACTGGACCGGACCGGACCAGATACAGTAATCAAGTATATAACAGATGGTATGCTTCTGAGAGAGATTTTGATTGATGAGAATTTATCTCAGTATTCAGTTATAATGCTTGATGAAGCTCATGAGAGGACAATCCACATTGATGTTCTTTTTAGATTGTTGAAGCAGCTTGTAAAGAGGAGACTTGACCTTCGATTGATTGTCACATCTGTCACATTAGATGCAGAGAAATTTTCAAGTTATTCCTTTAACTGCAATATCTTTACAATTCTTGGAAGAACTTATCCGATGGAGATATTCTACACAAAATAGCCAGAAAAGTGACTACCTAGATATATCTCTAATCACTGTTATAGAGATCCACTTGACAGAACCTGAGCGTGATATCCTCCTCTTCTTGACTGGTCAAGAGGAGATTGCTCTCTCTCTCTCTCTCTCTCACAACTTATACACATATAAACATCCATGTATATAGTATGAAGTTAAACTGTTTGACAAAATGCTTTTTAGAACTCCAAAACACATAGCTGTGAGATTTGGTTTGACAAAACTCTTTTTAGAATTGTAAAACATATAGCTATGAGCTTTGAAGCTAACTTGTTTGATAAAATGTTTCTTAGAAAAATAATCATAGAGAAAAACAATTACAATTTTCTCTAATTTGTTCAAAACACAGAGAAAATTATGATTATTTTTTTGCTTCTAGGTAGCCCAAATTTCTTTGGTTTGGTTTGATTTTGAATGACCAATAATAAAGAAGTTTAGATAACCAAGAAATATTTCCTGGTAGGTAACTAGTGAAATTCTTTGATTTTGAATGACCAATAATGGCTATGAGAAATTTGGAGAATCAGAAGCTTCTTCTGCAACCATATATCTAAAGAAAAAATATTAGAGAGTGAGAGAGAGTTTAGGCTAAGATGAGACTTGAACTTACTTTGTCCAAAGAAATTAGAGTGGGAAATCCAGAGAAATTTGGCGAGAATTTCTCTGGACAGTGGGAAGTCCAGATAAATTTGAAAAGAAGTCCAGAGAAATTTGAAAAGAAGTCCAGAAAAATTTGGAGAGAATTTCTCTGGACAGTGGGAAGTCTAGAGAAATTTGAAGAGAAGTCCAGAGAAATTTAAGTCTAGAGAAATTTGGAGAGAATTTCTCTGGAGATTGAAATTTCTCTGAATCAATGTGTGAGGGACCTTAGACAATATGAAAATATTTGATGTCCTTTATGTTACAAACTCTTAATACCAGGGACCTTAAAAAAAAATCCCCCTTATTATGGAGGGGTTTTCCTAGTTATGAAAATTTCAGTTCTATTGAATATTGAGAGGTTTTCCTAGTTATTAAAATTTCAGTTCTATTGAATATTGAAAAAAGGGCAAATTACACAAATATTCCATATAATTTGGGGGTTGTGTCACTTTGATTGTTGATTTTTCAATTGTGTCACATTTAATCCTGAATTTTGAATCTTGTTCTAAATAAAGACAATCGAATATATAATTAGATTTTTCAAGGGTAAAATTGTCAATTTAATAAAATATAA